CCACCCGACAGGACAAAGCAAACTCTCCCAACAAATGAAGTTCAAGAACATTCTATCTGGGATTCGAACCACTGTCAACCACAAGAACGACGTTTGGTCTAAAAAAAACCATTATGACATCTGATCAATGGATGCATTATAACTTAGTTAATTAATCAACAGCAGAATTGGTCAAAATACAGGAAATGCATAATCAAATATAGGCTGCCCAATACTTCTTGAGAAAGAAGAGGATTAGGACGCAATAGCTGACATGCTCCAAGGGACAAAAAAGAGACAATTGTTATTACTATCACGTAAAATCTTGTTGAGGGTCACTTCAACCCCGGCCTAAATCTGATAGGACAGCGCAACCGAAACACAAATTGGGGTAGTCTCGACAGGCTGTGCCAAACTGACAGACACTTAAAAAGCCCCAACAAGAATAGAAATATTTCTGCCCATCCTGCAAAAATCGGGCGAGGATTGGATAAGTGTCAACATGCCTCTGGGCATATCTCAGAGCGCCCTCCGCTCGCGCCACAGACAGGGAGATAAGAGATAAGAATACTCAGCAACATGCAGACATGTGTGGAAATAAAGGGAAAAAGAGAAAACAGAAAGGGGGTGGGAGGGGAAGAAGGAAAAGAAGAGAGGAGACCGGGGTTGGGTTGGGGTTGGGGGGGGGGGGGCAAACATAACCGGGTGTCCGTTTACACACTCTTTCCAAGGGGTGAATGAAAGAGAAAGCGATTGGAGAAAGTTGTGAGTGTAATAGTGTGCGAGTGTAAGTATGCGCGCGTGCGTTTGCTCACTTGCATGCGTGTTTGTGTGTGTGTCTGCTGCATGTGTTTGCAGGCGAGCGTGTTTGGGTGTATGTGTATGGGTTTACATTCAAGCATGCGAGCTTGCCTAAGAGTGTCTGTTTAATTGTGGTGTGTGTGTGACTGCATGCACACAGTGTTCGCAAGTGTGTGTCTGTGTGTTCACGTGCGTAGGTGTGTGATGTCTAATAATAATAATAATAAATAGCATTTATACTGCGCATTTTCTAAAAATTGAGCACATTAAAACGAAAAAGACATCACATCTTAAAAATTAATCTACATACGTGTACGTAAAACAAAGTATTATACATACAACATAAATGTATATGAGGACAAATTTATATGAGAAAAACAGTCTCACAGTGAGGTTGGAAATGAGTTCACTAAAAATATACAATGCAATAAAAATTCAGGAAGGGTCACAATAAAGTTGAAACGTGAGTAACTAGAAACATTCATTAAAACATTATCCTAAGCACAAAACACAATCTGTCTGTTGCAAAAGGGAAATTTTGTGTGTGTGTGTGTGTATGCATGTACTGGTGTATTATGAGTTTCAACAGAACCTTGTTATTTGTATAGCTACAGCTTACTGCTAGTTAGCAAGACATCAGCCATATTCTACACTCAACAAGTTTTGAGCAAAAAGAAGCATATCGACAGAAGGACAGGGCAAGATGAACACAGAAGTAATATAAGCGATGTAAACAAGATGGATTTATCAGCCTTGTCCTCCAACCACCCACCGTAGAACAGAAGTATGGAGATAGTCACAAGGAAAACCCCCAGAAGAGCAAACCACACCATAAGGCCCACAGAACTAAAACAGAATCACCCTGCATGCATAACTGGACATTCAAACATCACACAGTCCCAGGGAAAGAAAACACTCAACAAAGACGTGGAAGGAACACAAGATACCAAAAATTTACAGGCATGGGCACATTGAACACTTTCAGGACATATTTCAGATAGATTCGCACCATTCATAATTGATTATTTCTATATAGTACGTCACATATGATTCGTCCTGTAAGTCAAGAGGCATTAAGGCTGTTACCATTACTTCAATAAGATGAGTGTGAGGTGTGCCGACAAAATGACTTACTTCTCGCAATCCGCAAATGTAGATACTGGCCAAAAATTGACACAAGGTCAAATTTGTAGATTTTCTATAGATGCAATATTCTTCAAGTATAACATGCCTTTTATTATTTCATGCTAATAAATTGTAAAACCTTCACCTACAAGCCTGATGTGTCTATTTCAATATGGTTCGAATCCGATAGGTAACTCATATTGCCAGCACGCTTCACAGACTATACTTTATTGTCCATGTATGTGAGAAATGGCGTACCTTGTGTGCCGACCAGTATCAAAGGGATCTCCTTGGTGTCCCGGTACTGCCGCATCTTGGCGTAGTGGCTGTGCACAGCCTGGAAGCTCATCTCATTCTCCAGACTGAACACAAAGATGACCGCATCCACCCAGTGCGTGAACTGACGAGCAAAGAGTTGAAAGTGTTTAATTAATACCCCTAACGACACACCTTAAAAATCTAGGGGGCAGGTTGTCAGCGCGTGCTGAGTGGGAAGATAGATCCCGGCAAACAGGGTCTAAATACTCTATTAAAAAAAACAACTTCCCATCCCAAGCATCAAACTCAAGTCTTCTGCTTGCAACAGTAAAGGGCCTTACTGCTACATCTCCTTCTTTTTTGTGTATGTTACTCTCATGTACTGCCTCTTATCTTTATCCCTTATTTATGACCTAATTGTGTTGCAAGTGCCGTAAACGACTTATTAAAACTAAAACATAACTTTCTTTACTGAACTACATGAATCATGGCAATCATAGCCCGCCCCCCCCCCCCTTTGGTCCAGCAAAACACAGCTGAAACCCCACTCATTGTGACCCTGGATGTTGCCCATTAGGTCAAGCAGTTTGGAATGGTGGGCTATATTCTGTTTTACCAAAAATATGTTGCATGTAAAAATCCAGAAGACCATTAATAGAAAAATATATTGACAGGATCAGGCACAGATAATACACATCTCCCTGAAAGCCTGTTTCACAGGAGAGGCTGAAAACTGTAATTAAACTATCAAAGGCCAGTTAAGCTCAAATACCATGTCCATGTTTCATGCACTTTTATTTGCTAACATATATTTTCACCATATACAGAAGAGTAACAAATCAGGTTTCTGAAAATCCGTCCACTTGTGCCAAACAGAACTGATATACCAATAAGAAAAATAAATGTTCCATTGGATAGAACAGACGAGAAAAACCCTTACCTGCATTTCTGGACTGCCACCTTCATCACGAATGAGTAGCAAATAACTTTGACCATCTATAATAACTTCTTTCTTGAATCGTCCACCTGAGTGAAGTACAAAAAATGAAAATATGTAATGCCATTTTTTTTTCAAATTAAAAAAGAAAAGTAGACAACTGTTATATTGCATCATTATCATAGATGTATAACTCACTGGGATACAGCCCATTTGTGAGCCCCATAACAGCATCAGTATCCGATATTGTTCGTAATGCTACATTTGATAACTCCCGTTAAAAAATATATCCAACAAAATGTTGTGGTATATGTGTAACAGATTGCACCACTGGTGTATGTCCTCAGAAGAGGGTAGAAATGGTAATTTAGAATGAATAAACCAAACAAAAGAATTATTGAGATGTTGTACAACCAGACAAGAACAAAAATTGGAGTTTTCATCAAAATCCTCCCCCAAAAAATCAGTTTAGAAAAGAAAACCAATTGGAGTTTCCTGAACCCTAGTAGACTAAAATTCTGCAATGAAACGACGGTAGCAAATAAATACATGAATTTAAGTGAAATATAAAATGTGTTTTCTCACTTCATTTACATCAAGTCATAAAAATATGGCCAAAAAAAAGCAAACAAAATGTATTTTCTCATATATATTAAGTCGAATATGACCAGACCAAAAAAATAAAAATAAAATAAAATAAAAATTTAACGGAAATCTGACCAGGGTTCTTTGAAGGGAGGAAAAAATGTTGGTTTTTTTCAAAATAGGAGAACTTTGATATTTTATCACAGTACTCAACAGGTCTGAACCAGCTTTCGGGAAAAAAGCAACGATAAAAATAAGAATAAGCAATGAACACTAAAGATAACTATTTTCACGTCTAGAGTTGCTACGCCTTAGGTTACAATGGCTGAGAACCCCTGACCAAAAATTGGCCAGAAATCTGTCTACACACTTTACCTGAAAATAACCCAGACAACACTCCCTACCATCTCTTATTTAAGTCAGATGTAATCCTAGCATTTTCTACTGTTTTGTTAACCCTACTTTTCAGTCAATAAAAGTTTGAAAAGATGGCAATTTGTAAATTTCAAATCTCTATATAGTCACCTGAGAGCAAAACCAGATAATCAGAAAATGTTTGAAATGTCTCATCAGAGCTATTTGTGTGCGAGCTTTTACATTAACATAGAAGCAAAATATGGCCCTGCTCAATGAAAAGCCCGCAGGAGCAGTTAAGTTTATTTCAGAAACCATAGCAGAATGAAGTCATCAAATTTGAACTTTTTAAAAATCATGCCATCCCCCACCAATATTTCATCCTGCTTGTCTATGAGAAAAAATTTTTCTTGAAGAAAAAACAAGCATTTTTTTCTTTTGAGATCAAGCATAACCCCTCCCCCCATCAGACAGGCAGTAAATTTGAGTTAATAAACAAACAAAAAAAATAACCGTGGAGAAAACATAAGAACCATCTCACCTTCGGGCGACTCCTCTTGCATGTAAGAGCCTGTGAGGTACCGGTGGACCAGGGCTGACTTCCCACTTTGTACACTACCCAAAATTCCCTGGAGGAGAAATGAAGGAATTTTCATCAGAATATCAATGTATCTTATGTAGCACCAACATCTTGGGGTCAAACTCAAAAGAGCTCCAAGTCTCAGAAAATGGGGAAATAAATATCATTAGCTCTATTTACACTTTACAAATCTCTAATAAAATTTTTAACATATCATATGTGGACAGAAAAATTTGCATGTTGCAATTCCCACCATGCTTTGTTCATAGTGATAGAGAAACAAGGCTGAAAGCGTTTAATGGCGATGTCTACTAAGGGAAGCAACCAGAAATTATTCAACCAAAAGTACGAAGTACCAGAAATTGTCCCCCTTTACCCATTGCACTGTTCGGGCTCTGCTTTCAATGAAGTGGTGAGCAGGTAGACATTTCAAAGCAAACAGCAATAGAAATATATGAATAGTAATCCCCACCCCTCTTCTTTTCAAAGCACAAGAGCTCATACTCCCTTTTGCGTCATATGATCCTTGTTATGATTTGCTCCCACCAACGCAAAAGTTATTTTCGGTGTTCAGTCAGCCAAAGAACTGATAGTGATCAAGAGCACTTGTAACCAGCCACTTAAAAGGTCAACCACTGAGAGAACGGGGCCAACACAAGTGGTTTCCTAAATCATTCATGTTGTTGCATGTAATGAAAACACACACACACACACAGGGAGAGGGAGAGGGAGAGAGAGAGAGGGAGGGAGAGAGATAGATAGAGAGAGAGAGAGAGAGAGAGAGAGAGAGAGAGAGAGAGAGAGAGAGAGAGAGAGAGAGAGAGAGAGTGAGAGAGAGAGAGAGAGAGAGAAAGAGAGAGAGAGAGAGAGAGAGAGAGAGAGAGAGAGAGAGAGAGAGAGAGAGAGAGAGAGAGAGAGAGAGAGAGAGAGAGACAGTGTCCTAAGGCCAATGAGGTAAGTGAAAATTAGAATTGATGTTGACACCTAGACAAAATGAAATCTTAATTACTTCATCAAAAGCAAGAGTTAAAAGCATTACTTGTTGATGATATATATTGCAATTTGAAAAGCTTCATAATCAGTTTAGAATCTTTCAAGACGTAAAATAAAACTGATGATGTTAAAAACAACAATCTTAACTATGAGCCACAACATATTAGTTTCTGAGAATCAAAATAGATTTTCCTAAAATTAGGAACTGAGTATAAATACAACAGTAGGAAGCAACATGGCTTTAAAAAAACCCTCACTATACTGTGTGTATACACTCACCAGTTTCAAATCTGGAACTGATCGACTTAGAGTCCATTCCTGACTGTTCACAAATGAATCTGGAAGCAGATAAAAAGACATTCTATGATTCTGAAAAATAACATTTCAGGGGAACAGTGCACAGTTTCTTAAATATGCATCAAACAGACATCATTATGACAGGAAGAAGAAAGTCATTATGACCGGAACCAGACAGTAAGTGAGTAGAGATGGGCTGGTGAAGACAAGTATTTTCTGAAAAGTGACCAACTTGTTCTCACTAAATCATAAGGATATGGACAAAGTAATTTGTAAGGTCAGAAAGAACATTTTCTGGTTACAAATGACCTTGCTCACAATCCATAACCAAACAAGATATTACGATGAGGATATGAGGATTAATCTTCAGTGTGCATGATGAGAAAAGGATGGGATAAGTGGGAGATTGTGATCTGAATGACAGAGGACTCTCAAATTTGCTAGTTGCACACTTACCCAGAATATTTGCAAGGTAAATCATTTAGAAAGATATTTTTTCAAAGTCAGATTCTAAACATCTCATTTGGTTATTTCCCATCTAAAAGAAAAAGAAATACTTTAAAACTCCATCTTTCTCTGAAACAGCAGAAGCGATTACTATCACACTTCTTATTATCAAGTTTTGTTTACTGTTCTTGATTTGCAGAATGGACATTTTTGTTTGGTTTTAGTTCCCTTCTTGACACAAATGGGTATTTCCAGGGGAACACACTGGAAAGAGTAAATAAAAAGAAACAAGTGAGGAAGAACAAGGGAAGAAAGCAAGAATGATATACACTGAAAAAAATATCACACATTATTTTACATATAAATATAATAATATATATATTATGAGAATCTAAGACATCAGTATCAGTATGGTGAGAAGGGTAACACCTCCTCCTATTCATGGGCAATGTTATTTTAAACTCCCCCTGCCCAAAGCAACCTACTGGGAGTTAAAATGGGACCACTCTATCTTTTAAAATAGCAGAATTTCTGACACAGACCAATGATGTAGAGGACACTGGCATGGTAAGATATCGATAAGCATATAATTGCCATTGCAACATGATTTGAAATAAGTTCCCACTCTTGTTGAAACTAAACCAGCTGTTTGCAGCTGTTTACCAAATAAGATGTGACGCAGTTATGTTGGGATAAAATCTACAACGACATTGCACAATCTTCTTTCAATCCCCCACTGAATTTGAAAGTAGACACTACCAGCTTATATTGCCATAATAATATTTTACTGGTAACAAAACAAAACACTGTCTAGAGACAAACACTGGAGGAATGAGTTCATTTTAATGTAATGAAAGAGAAAGAAACAAGCGCGCGTCGGGAAACGTGTGTTTTCGCATGAATACTGTGGGAGTGTGTTAATTGATGATGAAAATAACGCTCTATCTTTCATAGCTTTCTATTTATAAAGTATTACAAACACATGAATAACCCCCTCCGACAAGCTGATAAGACATTACGAGTAGTTACGCCCATTCGAATAACCTTTCTAGACGCTCTTGTCGTAATGAATGACCTGAGGTTCGAAAGGGGATAATATAGGTCAATTTCCGAATATTTTGCACTCAAATTGTTCTTTGTACCTGCACAATGGTATTCAAAACTATCAAATAAGCTTATAATTTTTTATCATGTAAATCTAGTATAATTTCATACAAAATCAAGCTCATTTGAAATGTTTTGTGTATAGAGAAAAATGGAAGTCTTGTTTCCTGACTATCCTTTCGAGCTCCTCATGTCTAAGTGGGTCAATTTCTTCTATAATTTCATTGGACGAATATCTAGAGCTACCAACTTGGCTTGTTTTGAAGGAGACGTAATGCCTCGATTACGAACCAACGCAGGCGGTTCTAGAAGAAGGCTACAAACACACACAAACTCACGCAGACTGACGAACACACACTTGACCTGCGTGAATGATGCTCGGCGCGCGTGCGCTGAGCCAGGGGTTTCACTGACTCCGGACCAGAAGAACGCAGGTGAGGTGCCGAAATAGGCTTATCGGGCGACTTAAACCCGGCCCCCGCAGGACGAGGGTTAAAAGAGGAATTAAATCCATAATATAATTTATAAACACACCGATAGTCTAGACCTCTAGATCTAAAAATCTCTTCTCATTTTTACTTGAATCTTAGACTTTCTTCAATTCACGACTAAAACTGAATGATTCTAAATTGGTAGTGTCAATTGCCACCGAGTCACGTGGTGGCAATTGACAAAAATTGACTTTTTGTCAATTGCCACCAGTAAATTGGAGCTCTTTTGCGTTGGTGGGTAGATTTAGAGCTACTATTGTGCTCGAGTGCTCGGTGTTGTGCGTTCGCCTCTCTGTCCCTCTGTGTGTGTGTGAGTGTGTTTGTGTGTCTTCCTGACCCCCGTCCCCCGATTTATGTTCCCCGATATAACGTGAATTTCTGCTTGAGATTGTGACCTTCTACTTCTAGAATTGCCTGTGTTGGTTCTCCACCAAAGTGTAGGCTAAGGCTAGCCTAGATCTAGGCCTATGTCTCATTAAAAACACGCCAAGTTGGTGCCATAGCTCTAGACTAGATGCTCGTCCAATGAATTAGTTGAGAACAAATTGACCCATTAGACACACATAAAGTATAATGCTAAAGATAGTGTTGTTTTCAGACTTGACACCGCTTCACTCTGTGGCAATTGACAAAAAGTCAATTTTTGTCAATTGCCAGAGCGTCACTCGGTGGCAATTGACGCTACCTTCTAAATTTTAGCTTTTCCTATGGTTATTAAAAGGTCCTTATTAAAAACGTCCAAATTAGAGGCCTAACTAAATCTAGATTCTAAAATCTAGATCTAGATATCTAGATTCTAATCTAGATCTAAAAAGATTAAGTTCTAAGTCATCAGCTGTAGGCACTGCCCTATTCTTTGGTTTAGGATTAGTTTCTAATGATGATGCTATTATGTCCATGCTTCTCATAATTTTAAGAAAAGTACAGCGTTTTGAAGAGAAAGTACCGGAAAAGGCAAAATGTAGACATGTGAACAATGACTGTTGACAGTGAGGTCAGAAAATATGAGTAATGCACGCTGACCGGTACCATAACCCCCGAGTCAAAGTTCTGATGAGTGTGTGTGAGCGAGTGTCTGGAAGACGAGAGTCTGATACTGATGGGATGAGCAAGTTAACAGATGAGAACAAAAACTGAGCCGTATCATAGGTCATAGGAGGACCAAAATTCCTATAAAGTGTGAACATACAAGGTTCAAAATACTTAGACACTAGACTGGTGTTAACACAGCAAAGGCTGTACTCACCTTCGATGCATACAACATGCTCCCGAATTTGTTGTTGAATCAGAGGGTCTGGAATTGCTTCTATCAGATCATAAATAGCATAAATGCTTGGGTGTACGCTCTCGAAGCGCTGGATTTCTTGCCGAATAGCAAGCGAATTACTCCAGTACGACTGCATCGGACTCCGTGCATTCATTTTCATGACTAAACGAACTCATCCTTTATGAATCAACGTCATTTTGACGTAACTGATAACAGAAACACTTCACAACAGTCCGAGGTTTTCCTCTCTTCCTAAAAGATGGCCAGCCATGTAAATTTAGGATTTCGCGCATGCGTATGAAGAGAGAAATACAATGCCAGACTTTTATGGGTTAACAACCAGCTATTTCATTTCTGATTACTAACTGAAAATCAAAATGCGCGTTGATTTAGCGTGTGTGAGTTAAATTGTTGTGTCCCAATCTTCAATGAAATACCTATAATGTTCCAGAATCAGCTTCAGTACATTACATTTTGCCTTTTTTATTCCCATGACATTTAATTTCCTTCTATACAATGCCGATCTTGGAATAAATAGGCCTATTAATGGAGAAATGTGTTCAATTCTTGGTTAATTGCCAGTTGAAGATTGATTTTTTAAAATGTATCTTCTTAATTTTTACTCCTCTGTTTGCTAATAGATTAAAACGTTATTGGTTTGCAGCAAGGGAGGGGGGGTTGTTGGTTTGTTTGATTTGTTTCATGGTTGTTCTTTATGCAAACACCCATATCAGTCCCCATTCAAGTATAAACAAAATAAAATTAATGTTGAGGGAGTTTGTGATCTTTTTTGAGAGAACGAAGCGCCATGAGTTCAATTTTCTTGACTGAAATTGCAACTGCCACGAGTTATTAAGATTAGCTGTGGTAGGCCTAGCAGCAGAACATACTCAGATAATCGCAATCCAAACTGGCATACTTTCCATATGGGAGAAATAGTTGAGAAAGTACTTCCGGTTTACTTCCTGCATCAAAAAGTAGGCGGGGCCGGCAGCAGCACGTTCCTATTCATCGCATCAACTTACTTACACACTGTACTCAGGAGGTATTTATAAAGTACTATTTTGATTTCGCTTATATTACTTGATGTATGGAAGTTTTCAGTTAGCTCCAGCTAACACATAATTTGTATATCTACGTCCAATGTGCCATATTTTACGGAGTACAAAGACGTGACTTGTTTTTAAATGTTCAGTCTATCGACTATCGATATCTAGTAATCTAGGTACTTCAAGACAACCGGGTTTCAGCTTGATTTAGTCAACCCCCCCCCCCCCCCCCCCCCATCCGTTTCCACACACACTCACACCACACACACACCACACACGCACACACCACGCACACACTCACCTACAGGCACACACATTATCTTTTCAATGGCAGTTCTTACCCTCCGTCCCCTCCCTACCAAAAACGGTTCAGAATATGAAACCGTAACTTGAATTTGCTAAGCCAAAGTGAAAGCCTCCTCAAGACTCACAGCACAGCAGACCATGCCATGCAAGTTATTCATAATAGGCATTCGGACAGACATTCTTGGCTATATAAAGGCTAACAGAGAGTTTTATAGTGTTTTGAGCTAAAAGTTACAAGTGTCAAATTGTGAAAGGTAGGGTTGTGTGAGTCCAGTATCTAGATCTAGATCTAGTATTTTAAACTCAAGTCTGAGTCTGAGTAATTTAAAGTGAGTATACAGTATTTGTTTCCTGAGCACAAACTCAAAATTTGCTATTTTCTTACGTCTAAAGTAAAGTAAATGTTATCACCCCCACCTGTCCTTTTTTTTCTCTCCTTACTAGATCTAGATCTATTTGCAAAAATATCATATGTAAGGCATTCATGCACATGTTCACAAAAAATGCTGAGACTGAGAGTGAAAGAAAGACAGACAGACAGGGAGAAGATATGTAAAGTGAGGGGGGGGGGGGGATAATTGATGGAAGAACAATACCAAGAGAAGGGGGGAGGGGATTCACCTATACTGTAAACGATTACAAAACAATCATCACGTTGTGTGTGTATGAGAGAGAGAGTTCATTTGTATTGTAAGGGTAGAGCAGCAAAGACTGTTTATTTATAAAATTTCTTTTTAAAATTTCATTTATTTATATCCAATCCTTGATCACATAATTATGTATGGAACTGTTTATTATACTGACTGATCATAATACATGTACAGTGGGCTGTTACAGTCTTGGTTTAAATGATATAATTTTGGCTATTCAGGCTTAGATAGATCCTTGGGTTCAATCTCTTAGTATTTTGGAAAAAAAAGTTATTATATCATAACAGGCATTCGGACATCATTCTTGGCTAGATTATATATAACAGTGATCCAGCCATTGACAAAAAAAAATCCTAAAATAAAATAATGGCTAAGAAAGCAGAAAAAAGCAAAACAAGCAAAATTTACCAACAGGCAACATTGATAGAGAATTACCCCTGCGCGACTACAGTTGGCCTTAGTTAATTATGTACAAAAGTACATATTTTACGATGCGTCATACTGTGTATGCAGGGGAGGGAGGGGGGAATTCTGTTTCTGCAAATTCAGTCTGTCACATAGTGTGACCTTGATCTGGCACATTATTACATATTAGTCTTCCTATTGGATGACAGGACTAACGAATAAATCAATGATTGAAAAGTAGGCACTGCACATGAGATCTACCGCAGATTTATAAATGTGTGCTTCTTTTTCCCAAATGCGGTAACTATTCGATTACTAATAGAGTTGTAAGCCCACAGAGCATGCTATAGATTCTGTAAAGCATGAATATAATATTTAATATAAGTGCACTATTAAGTTGCAAGCATTATTTTTATTATTATTATATTACTATTTTTATTATTACCCATGTATCTCTAATTGTGCTTCTTATACTGACTGATCATAATACATGTACAGTGGGCTGTTCCAGTCTTGGTTTAAATGATAGAATTTTGGAACTAAGATACATACTAGAAACTAAGATATATACTAAAAAAGGTATATTATAAAGATGAGCAGAGAAAAAAAAATATCACTGGATTATTTATTAGTTATTGCTACCTTCCTTTCCTGTTCCAGTGATTTTTTTTTTCTCTGCGCATCTTTATAATATATATATTTATTGGTGTGGGTAGTCTTTGTGATGAAAGATATCCCATTGGTAAATAATAAGTTGCAATGTTTGTAAACCTGACCCTTGCCTATTATGGGGTTCAGCTATAACAGAGACATTGCATTGGTCCCGGCAGTCCTGTTATAGCAGGGGCCCATTGTATAATTATTGACAACAATAACACGGAAGCAGACAAAGAAATATTGTTAATGGTAAAAGCAACAAACTGAAATGTTCAAAGAAAAAAATACAATACAGTGCTGCAACGAACTAAAAGAATGAAAACTGCAAAATCTTTGTTTCTACTAAAAGCCCCTGCTTGGGTAATTAACTGAGGTGGTTTTGAACTTGGAAAAGTGCTCAAGTATTTTGATAGTACTTGAGGGAGTACTCACAAGGGTTAAAAATACTTGAGCACTGGAGTGGATTCAAGTACTCGCATACCCTAGTGACCGGTGATTATTTTTGCTGTACCAAATCATCCACAGGTTAAAAAGTCCTTATGAAACGGGCACATTTATGATTTTAAAGATGGCTTCCTAATTGAGCCTAAAGATGTGATTTATTTTTATTCCGCAACAAAAGAAAGTCCTATTTTTTGTTCCCAGAAAACCAAAATGAATGTTGAACATGAAGTCGAACTTCTTGTAGAAGAGATTAAGAGACTCGGCAAAGAAGGTGAGTGGCATGGTTTACTTTGTTCTCATTAATGGGAAATAGGGACGAATGAAGTAAGTTTTAAATGAAATCTTTTTTATTTCTCTCCATAGTTTTAAAATAAACTTACTTTGTGGTTGTACCATTGATCACGTACTGAAGAAGTCCTTCAGTTGATGATGGAATAAGTGTTTTGTTTCTTTGCTGACTATGTCACTCCTTCCATTTTTTCCCCCTATAACATGTTGGTATTTTTCCTCTGTCTTATTGAGTTAATTGACCTTTTTATAATGTGATGAGTCAGGGTTAAAAAACCCAACCCCAAACAATTGTCAGAAAAATGTCAGTGTATTTTGTACAACATGAGGCAATTTTGATTGACATTTTTACTTAATTGTTTGGCAAATTCACCATAAGTCACTAACTGCAATATTTTGAAAACATATTATTGTGTCTTTGATTTTGGTTTTACATAGTTTGAGGAATAATGAATAATGGGAACGATTTTAATGCAAGTCAACATGTACATCTGGAAACATTATCACTGTATGGTTGTATTGAGAATGACAGATTTCAGAATCACTAATGAATTTTTGTTGCCATGAAAATGTGTGCTCTGCATTTTAAAATCATGTCTCCCTTTTTTTTGTCCTTATAGCTAGAAAAGATTTCAATTTTGTAATGTTCTGCATCTTAAAACGCTTACAGAGTTATAATACTCTTCCATAGATTATAGTGTGACAAGATACAATTGCTCCTTTTTAATATGAGGCAGTTTAAGGTTCATAAATTGAAACCAGATTTTGGTTTTGTCCAAGTTATCTGTTATTAACCCTATCCGTATGTCATGTTTTACTATCGTATCCATACCACGTGGGGAACTCTGTGCCACCACTTTCCAAAGACATGCCTATAGGATGTGAATATTAGATTTCTTAAACTTCTGTTTACATGTACACATGTTATACTGCTGATTTCTTTCTGTGCATAATTCAACAACCCAACATGAATGAGCAATTCATCAGCACTTGATAACAAAGATGAATAGATGAAGTGGCTTATAAGATATATAATGCAGGCTTGATTATAACAGTTAGTATTTTGCCTCTTTTCACTTGTATTGAAAATCCAGAGTTTGCTTTTCAAATTTTGTGGCAAGGAGAGTTTTGACTCTCGCTTTCAGCCCAGTTTTATTACTTTTCCCTTGAGGTAAGCTTCCTCTGGGCTTTGTCAGTCAGTTTATAATATTATATATAACATGTATTTGTATTTATTTTTCCATTTCAGGAAGTGACGGGAAATGTGAGGTCACCTTTGGTGCACTGTTCAACGATGACAAATGTGCCAATCTCTTTGAAGCCCTCGTGGGTACCCTGAGAGCCGCCAAAAGGAAGAAGATTATCAAGTATGACGGAGAACTTTTACTTCAAGGTGTCCATGACAGCACTGTCATCAGTTTGCTTTGATGATGGTTTCAATTAGCTGGGATACCTGATGTGGCTTATTTCGCATTATCTCAGAGTGTGTTCGATGATTGTCTTTCTTGTAGTTTTTGTTTTCCTAGTGCTCTTTTGTGCCATTACTCATCTCTCTATGCTATAAACTCTTTGCACCCTTTCTAAAACTTTTGTGTGTTTTAGGGAGAAGGTTGTTGAGAGTATATTATGTAATGACACTTTGCCGTTGACACAGGGAGTCACAAAAAAAGTATACCGTTGCCAAAAAGACACACATGTTGGCCAATATTGTAAGAACAATCATTTGTATATAACTCAAAATCAGTGCTGATAAAAAATTTGCACAAATTGTAGGGAAAACCCAACAAAATAGTTGACAGAGCGGAGCCGAAAAAAAGATTCTGTTTCCCCTTCCATGTTCCTAGTTCATTTATTGAATTAGTTTGAAGAAAAGTGTCTGAAGTTATAAACAATACGACTTTTCGTTTTTTAAGCTGTATCTTCTGGCACAATATGCATTTAGTCACTTTTCTGTGTGAATGCACCACTGTTATTTAAGCTGTTTTAGACAACTGAAGGTGTTACTGTACAATGAGTTTGGAAAGGTTTATTTGCTCGTATTGGATTATAAAACAATTGATATTCTTGTGTCTGTTTTGGAAGTTTGCTGTAAAGAAAATGTCAGAAGTCTAGGTACTTGCAATGATGTTTCATCTGCAGCATGCACACTTTGTGCTGTCTTTATGTCCTTTGTGTAAATCCATTATTGCCCTATGATATTTTTGTTTAATTAAAAGATATTTCTGTCCTGAAGGTCTATTTTTAAACCAGATAAGATCCGTGTCATCTGGCCTTTTCAATATATTGCAATATTCGTGACATACAAATTAAGCTTTGAATACTTTGATATAAAAGTACACTATTTTTATAATACTTGACAGAATGGGTCACACCCTAGTGGACAGATAGTAATTGTAAGTTAAGCTTCGAAGTGTGTGTGCGCCTGTTTGTGTTTGAGCATGATGAAAGTGAAGGAGGGAGAGGGAAAGGATGAAGAGAAAAGAATGAGAGAGAGGGAGAGAGAGAGAGAGAAGATGAGAGGGACAGAGAAAGAGGAAAGAGGAGCAAATACATTGGACGAACGCATCCCTTCTCCCTTTGGTCTCATTGTGAAAGTACCAAATAACGCTGAGAGAGTGTGCTGGCATAATAGTACGGTATATGAAGTGGTGATGGTCACAGTACAGTTTTACTTTTAGACATTTTTGTTTTATGTGTTCCAATTTTTAAATGTATTTCTTTACCACTGACACTGACAAATAACAGCATTATCTTGAATGATAATAAAGAATGAAGTCTTTTTGACGTGATGCGTTGTGCTTAATTTTCTTCTAGACAATACTTCAAAGAGTACTAGATCTAGATGTTTATTGTCATTGTTGTGTAATTGACTCTGAGCCAAAGTTAACATATTGTCCTAATCTTTTTCCGCCAAAATTCTGCTGTTTTTAGCCCCCCCTTCACTGGTTGCAAAGTAATTCTCTATCAGTAATTTTCACTTTTTGTTGTAGGTGGTTGGTTGGTGCTCTGGTGTGGTCTGCTCCATCTTTCCTATCAAACATAGGTCGTCCTGTTCCCTCCTACGTCTTTTTTTGTGTTTCTTACTCTATTTTAACACCTCTCTTCAGCACTTGTATGACCTATAATATTGTGTTGCAAGTGTTGCAAAACTCTTACTCAAAGTAAGCTTTTCACTTAAGAAAAAAAAATATAATATGTTTGTGGTGAAGTAGTTGAAAGATGCCACTGGTATGTCCTTTATCTTTCACTCTGCTGTTTCTGTCTAACTGGTTGATTTCTTCTTTGCACTTAATGGTTCTGTGGGTGGTTGGCGGGTGCTGTGGTGTGGTTTGCTCCTTCTTTCTCCTATCAAACATCTATCGTCTTTATCTCCCCTTCTTTTTTTTATGTTTGTTACTCCATTGTGACGCTTCTAATCTTTTGGTGCTCATATTATGACCTTGCGAGCGCCGAAAAATCTCTTCTGAAAAAAAACCCAACAAACTTAAAGGCTCTTATTATGTCCCTGTGCTTATCTTTACTGAAACTGAAAGCTATTCCCAGGCCTTTCTGGAAGTCTTGTGAATGCTGTTTTTTGAAGGTTCTCTCTTGTTGTTTTTTTCTGGTACCCCAGGGAGGATGTGAAAAACTGAATTCTACATTGTAATGCCTTGGAATCGAGGGCTTCTACGGAGCCTTTCTTATATCATGTTTTTTGTTTAGCTTTATACATGTACTGACGCCTGTGGTGTAGCAGAAGACCGAGTTCGATTACTGTGTGGGTAGAATTTTCATGAGGTATCTCGCCCTTTCTCAGCCCAAGTTGGCCCCGATAGATTGGGTTGAAGCCCACTTTCTAAGTAATGTAATGTGTAAAAGACATCTACATTTTTTTCTTAAATCTAAAAATTATTTTGTTGCTCTTGGTATGGTATGCCCTGTCACTGTCCCTTTCGAGACGGAATGGTTACAGTCCATGCCGGCTTTAAGCACGGTCATCGGGAGAAAGCTTAAGCGTGGTTAAAGCCGAAGCGTGCTTAAGTGCGAAGTAGACATAATCCATAGATTTTCATGCAGAAAATTTCCTGTGCTATTTCCCTTTGTTTGTAAGTAGGCCTATAGCGGTCCCACAAAAGTGTACACTGTTGTTTAGACACCCGCCATGGCAGTTTTTGTTCGCTTGTTTGTTTTTATTTTGTGGTCTTTTGAATGGGAAATGAAAACTTAATTTAGACGGCCAGTCACGATACAGCACACTGGGCCTACTGTAACACACTGCCTGTGCGTACCACTGCCCGCTGTGCCACTCACACCACCGCCTTCATCCCACCTCGCGCGTGATACACAATCAGGATTAATGGGTAGCGAGGGTCAAAGGTGAAATCGCAGCCAGCCTCCCTTTCTCATCTCCCCGACTCTCTTTTTTGGGGGGGATCGTGTGCAGCTTTGCCCTAGGCCTAGGCTAGATCCTATGTCCGCGCGAACGGCTGTGTGCATCTCTCTGCCTTCTTCTCCGCCCGTGCGAGTGTGTGTGTCCATCACTTGCGTTCTTTGTGTTTCTCTTGACACACTCCACTGTTGCGGTGTAAACTGTGTTCGAACTTCGATGGGTCATCATGAAAATATTGACTGCCTTGTAAATGAAGCGTGCTTGAAGCCGAAGTTACCGTGCTTATAGGCGTGTAATTTATATAGCAAAAATTCGGTAAGAGCCGTTTAGCGTGCTTGAGTCCGAAACGTGCTGAAGGCCGGCGTGCTTATAGCCGGCACGGACTGTCCTGCACTACTGTACAGTTTGTGAGAGATTTAATGTTTATCTCCTTTAGAACCATGTCATCTAGGTGGAGAGACTGGGTGTTGGAGACTCCCCAATCAATTTAAGTTCAAGAAACCCCATTGGAGACTTGAACCAGGTTCACCCGCTCTATAACACAGGATGACAACATCTAGCTGAAGGCGCAGCATGCCTATGTTCTTTGTGAAAGCGATTTACTATAATTTAGTTTTAGTAAAAGTTTAACGGTCTTTAATGCACAATTAGGATACGTGCTAGATTAGATGTGTTCCGAGAGAGCAAACATACAGTATAACACGGAGAGGTCGAATACAGAAGACTCGGAATCACGCATCCGTCTAACTGTGCCTGCGGTCCCCCCCCCCCCCCCTCCCTATCCTTCTTTAGGTTTGTAAGATTTCCTTTGAATTACGGATCCCTCGAACTAGCAAGGCCGGTCACGACGAATTTCGAGCTATTTGTGTTATACTGTACAAAGGAAAGAAAGAGGGGTGACTTGTGGTGTAACTTTCAGTCAGCTCAGCCAGGACATCCGAGGGTCGAGGTTATGATTGATCATTGATAACAATTACATTCAACGTGCTTGATCTCGGTTTTCCTCTCTGTCCCTTGACTGTCCACAATATCACTGTGTCACCATCTGGCACACACGAATACCGACACTCATCGCGACAAACACAAACATATTTTAAAGTAAATGTACTTCAATTAATGCTAAAATAGGGTGATTTATATGACTCTCTCTCTCTCTCTCTCTCTCTCTCTCTCTCTCTCTCTCTCTCTCTCTCTCTCTCTCTCTCTCTCTCTCTCTCTCTCTTTTTTTTTTCTTCCCCCAAGCCACACGCGCGCGCACACGCTCGATCACATGCCAAGATGCACACACATACTTGCTCCCCTCTCCCTGTTTATCTCTCTCTCCCTCCCTCCCCCTCTCCTCTCTCTTCCTCTTTCTTTGACACAAACACACACGTTCTCAAACAATCGTTCCCCTCCCCTTCCTCCCCCTTCTCTACTCGTTGACTTTACACACCACGCGATCTCC